TCCACGTGATCCCATGCGTTGAACTCGAAAACATCATCTCCTTGCTCCAGGTACCGAGAGCCGAACTGGAAGGGGTCACTGCGCTTCATGTTGTTGGAGGGGTCGTGCGACCGGTGCGGGGGCATCGTCGGGGGCGTGACGGACTGCAGAAGAGTCGCGATGTCGTCGGAAGGCGGGGGAATCGGAACGGGAGACATTTTGACAAAACGTGGCCCCAGTAAAGAGCAGACTTGCGAGAGAGGCGAGAAAAATGAACGAGCTGGGGTGGTTGTCGCAACGACCTGTCTGATCGAGGGGGAGAAAATCTTCCTTGAGAAAGGCTCAATCGGGAAGGCAACCCGTGGGGAGTGCAAACCTTGCAAATGATAAGCGACTATCAGTATCATGTGACTGTACCCCACGTGCAAGCCTATGTGCCTGATTGTGGCCTGAGGTTACAGTACCTGAAGGGGTGCACTATCAGGAACGGGCAGAGTAGCATATGCCCTCTAATGCGAGGTTCGACGAGATGATCTCATATTCTACAGTACGCAGTACACCTACAGCCAGCTACTGTTGCCACCATCTTCAGCTTGATGATCATCATGTCTTGAGCTGGGAGCTTTGGGTTGAGGTGGGACTACGAGAATTGGCCACATGAGTATATTGTATGAGTAATTCAGAGCAATTGCATCATATGTCGGAGACAAACATTTCGAATTGATTATATGCTACCATAGCTCTTGTACATGAGTAGATGTTGATCAGCCATGTTCACGGGGTTGTTTGCCAGAGATGATTCTGAATTTCAAGCTCTGTACATAGTATCCTCGAATTGTCACGAAGTGGCCTGGATGGAATCAGAAGATGGCGGAGGAGAAGCAGCGATACGACGCGACTTTCCCGCGGGAAATGAAAGCTTATCGGGGGGGAGCTTTGCTTATCGCGGATTGCGGGGAGAAATTGAAGGGCGATATCGGGTGCCGGCGAGTTTTCCGCCACGGTCCCGAATCGTCCGCGGTATTCAGTGAGGTATTCATTAACTTATCGTTCGCTTGCTTTCTTGAGCTCCCTTGTATTTAATTTTTTGAAACTCAATCTCTCTTTTTCTCTTTTCTTTCTCTTCTTTCTCATCCTCTCATCTCTTCCAATTCCTTTGCCGGCTCATGTGTTGAGTCTTGTCATACTTGAATCATCCTATACTTCCCTCCCTCTCCCTCCCTTCCTTCTCCCCGTCATATACTTCCATACTCCCTCCACCACTATCACCAACGTAGCTATGGCTGCGTCCTGGTGCGCCCTGCGTGGCTCCCGCCAGCTCGCCCTGCGCACGCGAGTACGCTCAATTCCTTCGTCAATTGCTAGTCGCAGAGTATCTACACCTATCCTTCGTTCTATCCACACTACCTCCTCCGAACAGTCCTCTGCACGCCGCCATGTATACACCAGCTCGATTGGCGACCACGGTGATCCTCACCCCCGCGATCTCTTCCAGCCCCTCGATACATTCCCCAGACGCCATATCGGTCCTGCTCCAGATGCGGCCAAGGAGATGCTGGCCACGCTAGACCCTCCAGTAGCCTCGCTCGACGAATTCGTGAAGCAGGTTCTTCCTGCGGACATCCTCTCCAAGAAGGATTTGTCCGTGTCACCTCCGAGCTCTAACGCTAAATTGTACCGCGACAGTGTGCACGGTGGCTTGGGCGAGACAGACATGCTCAAACTGCTCGACACCTACCGGAAACAGATCGATGTTTCGGGAAAGACATACATTGGTGCTGGCTACTATGGTACTATTGTTCCCCCGGTGATCCTGCGCAACGTCCTCGAGAACCCCGCTTGGTACACCAGTTACACTCCTTACCAGCCTGAGATCAGTCAGGGTCGCCTGGAGTCCCTTCTGAACTTCCAGACTTTGACTGCCGATCTCACTGGCTTGCCCTTCGCCAATGCCTCCGTGCTGGACGAAGCCACGGCCGCAGCTGAGGCAATGACCATGTCCCTGGCTACCATGCCCCTGGCTAAGCAGAAGAAGCCCGGAAAATCTTACGTGGTTTCGAACCTTTGCCACCCTCAGACTATTGCTGTGATGCGTTCTCGCGCGGAGGGCTTTGGCATCAATTTGGTTATTGGAGATATTCTCGCAGATGACTTCAAGCTGGTCAAGGAGCAGGGCGACAACCTGATTGGTGTTCTGGCACAGTACCCCGACACAGAGGGCGGAGTATATGAATTCCAGACCCTCAGCGATACCATCCACAGTGCTGGAGGTACCTTCAGTGTGGCCACGGATCTCCTCGCCTTGACTCTGCTTAAGGCGCCTGGTGAGTTTGGTGCTGATATTGCTTTCGGAAATGCCCAAAGATTTGGTGTTCCCATGGGATTCGGTGGTCCTCATGCCGCCTTCTTCGCTTGTATCGACAAGTATAAGCGCAAGATCCCCGGTCGTGTCGTGGGCGTCTCTAAGGACCGTCTGGGCAACCGTGCTCTGAGATTGGCCCTTCAAACCAGAGAGCAGCACATTCGTCGGGAGAAGGCTACCAGTAACATCTGTACTGCACAAGCTCTGCTGGCTAACATGTCCGCCATGTATGCCGTCTACCACGGCCCGACTGGCTTGAAGGCTATTGCTCAGCGCATCATGTCCATGACCGCTACACTGCAGGCTCAGCTTGCGGCATTGGGCTACAACGTACCTGTCAAGTCCAACGCCACCGATGGCAGCGTTCTTTTCGACACTGTCGTTGTTGACCTGCCTAGTAGCCAAGAAGCCGATGCTATCATGTCTGCCGCACGTCAGAAGCACTTCTACCTCCGTCGCGTCAATGAGACTAAGGTTGGAATTTCCTTGGACGAGACTGCTGGACGTGAGGAGGTGAGGTCTGTGCTTCAGATCTTCGCCGACCATGCCTCCAAAGGCGAGGTCGTTCTGGAAGAGAGACTCGCCGTGGCAACCGTCCCCGCCAGCTTGGAGCGGACATCGGAATACCTTACGCACCCTGTTTTCAACACCCACCACTCGGAAACCGAAATGCTGCGTTACATCCATCACCTCGAGTCGAAAGATTTGTCTCTGGCTCATTCCATGATCCCCCTGGGTTCTTGCACCATGAAGCTAAACGCAACCACTGAAATGATCCCTGTCTCGTGGCCCGAGTTCTCCCAGATCCACCCCTTTATGCCCGCCGATGTTGCCAAGGGATACACCCAAATGATTGATGACTTAGAGCAGCAACTTGCCGATATCACCGGTATGGCTGAAGTCACTGTGCAGCCCAACTCTGGCGCGCAGGGCGAATTCGCTGGACTGCGTGTGATCAAGAAGTACCAGGAGGCCCACGAGGGATCGAAGCGCGACATCTGCTTGATTCCCGTCTCTGCCCACGGCACTAACCCGGCCAGTGCGGCCATGGCTGGTATGCGCGTTGTCACTATCAAGTGTGACACCAAGACCGGTAACCTCGATCTGGAGGATCTTAAGGCTAAATGCGAGAAGCACCAAGAGAACCTGGCAGCCATCATGATCACTTACCCTAGCACATTCGGTGTCTACGAGCCTGGTATCAAGGAGGCCTGCGAGATTGTGCACAAGTACGGTGGGCAGGTCTACATGGACGGTGCCAACATGAACGCCCAGATTGGTCTTTGCTCCCCAGGAGAAATCGGTGCCGATGTGTGCCACCTGAACCTCCACAAGACCTTCTGCATTCCCCATGGTGGTGGTGGTCCCGGTGTCGGACCCATTGGTGTGGCTGAGCACCTGCGACCCTTCCTGCCCTCTCACCCGGTCAGCGAATACCTCCAATCTAAGCGCTCCGAGTCTTCGTCTCCCCCGATCAGCGCTGCTCCCTGGGGTAGCGCCAGCATCCTACCCATCACTTTCAATTACATCAACATGATGGGTGCTAAGGGACTCACGCACGCTACCAAGATCACGCTGCTCAACGCCAACTACATCCTTTCTCGTCTCAAGGAGCACTACCCCATCCTGTACACCAACGAGAACGGCCGTTGCGCGCACGAATTTATCCTCGATGTCCGCAAGTTCAAGGACACCTGTGGCATCGAGGCGATCGATATCGCCAAGCGTCTCCAGGACTATGGCTTCCACGCCCCGACCATGAGTTGGCCCGTGTCCAACACCCTCATGATCGAGCCGACCGAGTCGGAGAGCAAGGCCGAGCTCGACCGGTTCTGCGATGCCCTCATCTCTATCCGCCAGGAGATCGCGGAAGTCGAGAGCGGCTCCCAGCCCCGTGAGGGCAACGTCCTGAAGATGTCGCCGCACACGCAGCGTGATCTCCTCTCCACTGAATGGACCCGGCCATACACCCGGGAGACCGCGGCCTACCCCCTGCCCTACCTGCTGGAGAAGAAGTTCTGGCCTTCGGTGACGCGCGTGGATGATGGTAAGCTCATAACCCCCTTCTCAAATATACCACTGAACAACCCTTCTAACTCACTTTTTCTTTTCTAGCCTACGGTGACCAGAACCTATTCTGTACCTGCGGTCCCGTGGAGGATTCTGCTTAGATTCGATGTGATACCCATGTTTTAGCTTCTTTCCCTTTTACCCTATTTTCGGCACTGGTATTGCGTGTACCGCTTTCAACATTTGTTATCCTTCCATCGGATGGGATACCTTGATCATCATCGTGATGGTGTGGAACTAAAAGCCACGATGCGATTTCAACATAACGATAGACGATATGTCTGCGCTGGGCGTTATAGATTTAGAGCGTTTTTCTTACCCCGAACATTTCCCGAGTGCTGGTTCCAACTGGCTAGCCGCTGTCTCTTGACAGCGCAGGGTGAAATGAAACCAATAACAAAATAAATTTATTCTTATAATCTGCCCCTTTGCATGTTGACTGGGATTGCCGCACTGGCAGAGTAGAATAAATCATATGCAATAACGCATACGCTGGACAGAAACTCATACCTTGCATAGACTGACACTACTGCCTGCATCAACGACGAAGACCTGAACATCACAGATATGTCCTGACGCTGCTTGAAAACGTGCTTGAACCTCATATTGACATGTGACTGGACTACCGAGTCCTTCTCTATATACATACAATAATCACAATATGTCCCGATCCATTCTGCGGCTAGTGTACAGATGCGAAATGCCTTGGAGTTACAACAATCTATTTTGAGATAAAAAAAAAAGTCCTCGTGTCCCAAACCGATCTAAAAAAAAAACGCCCGATGGCGCCGGAAAAAAGGCCGTGAATGGTATACGCGATAATCATGAAAGTGGTTGACTCGCTTCCTCCTGCGAGGGAGGAGGCTCGGGAACGTCCCGTGGGGGCCAGTTCGGCGCTGGATAGCTGAGAAGCTTGCATACGTCCTGCTCATGGAAAGGGGGCTATGTTAGCAAAAGAGACGCGCCAGGTCCAAAAAGTTATGCATCAAGTAAGGATGTGCAGTGAAAGCAAAAGGAGAAGAACTCACCCTCCGCCTCCGCCGATAATCATCATACAGCTTCTTCCAGATCTCGCGATCCTTACACCCGCTCTCCTGGAGCGTCCCGGGCTTGACCTTGCACTTGGGCAGCATGTCGGCCAGCAACTCCTGCGGCCACATGATCCACGGCTTGGGGAGCGGCCAGTCGGAGAAGTGCACGAGTTTGGCCTCGCTCAGGACGCGCTCGGGGTCCCACGCCTCCCAGTCGTTGCCCAGGAAGGCGCGGTGGTCATCGGCGCGGAACTCGCCCGTGATCAGCCCGTACTGGCGGTGCGGCAGCACGAGTGCCGAGTCGCCGTACCGCTCGTTCATCAGCTCCATGTCGTATCGGGCGGTCGTGGTGCCGGTGGTGTTGACCTGGCCGTACGTCACCGCCTCGCCGGCCGCCGTCAGCGCGTAGAATTCCTTGAAGGACGGCTCGAGCACGATCAGCAGCGACGAGAGCTGCCGCGTGTCCGGGAGCTGCCAGTAGGCGCGGGGCATGGCCACCTGGGCCGACGGCAGGAAGAAGAGCTCGTCCATGTTCTGGAGGATGGTCGCGTCCGAGTCGACGTGGATGATCCGGTCGAATTCGGTTTCGCCGAAGGCCAGGAACTTGCTGGTGCTCTTGTCCCAGGATTCGCTTGGGCCTAATGGGGGATTATGAGTGTAAGTTGTCTGTATATTTGCGAGCAACAATTGGAAAATGCTGAACAAAAGGATATGCATGCATGCATCCATGTATGAAGGGAACGTACCGGCTCCAGCCTTGACCATCTGCACATCGATCGGCACCAGCAGCGCACCGTACTTTTCATACGCCAGCGCCAGCATCTGACTATCCCGATCCCGGTCACTCTCGACAATCACATCCCAGTTCTCGGGGTAGAAAAGCACGCGCTGCGCTTTGCTACCCAGGCGATCAAGGGCATCGAACGTCAACAGGGCGTTGCAGAGGTAAGGACTCGAGGTGGCATATTGGCTGTAGGCATAGCGGGACCAGTCCACGCGGCTGTAGTCGATATGGGTTACCTTGGGCGGCGGGGGCTTCTCCCGGCGGAGAAAGAGTATGAAGAGGACGAAGAAGATGAAGGCGACCCAGGTCCGCAGGTGTCGCAGCTGCCGCTTGATGATGGCCCAGCACGGTTCGTCGGGGATGTCGAAGAAGTCGGCCTCGGAGGCGTCCGAGCCTCGACGGTAAGGGAGGACTGGCACTTTCTTGATGGCCATGGTGATTTGAAAACTCTGTCACAGAGATTAAGGTAGATCAGATAGCATTGCGTCTCCCATGGAAGTTGACATTCGAGACAAGATGATCTAAGTTGGTGAACATCCTGCTTCAGGGGATTGCGTGGAAAGTGACTGGTGGCTATGCATGTATGGGGGGGAGGGGAGGCGGACATGTGATGGCTTAGTCACTTTATGCTGGCATAACGAGCCAGATAATGTGTCCTTCACCGCCGGGGCCAATATCTTTCTGCCACACATATGCCCACCGCCTGTCATAAGCGGATAGAGCATGCTCAGTCATTGCATGAAGAAGACAGTCGCATCACCTTCCTTGATTCCTCCTGTAAATGTATGTTATCTCATTGTCTTTTCTATTAACGCAACTCACGAGCATATATAATTCTTTGAAGCCCACGGACCGTGTTCCAACATCTCCCCGTGTCACGACGTACCTCCCGCCCCACGGTGGAGATCTACGATAGCCGAGGCGGAATTGTCTGGATCACGTCTTATCCTCCCCGAGTCCTCTCACCGCGCGCCATCTAAATCAGTACCTCTCTCTCTTTTTCCCTTCTTTCCTCACCCGGCCATGGACTTCACGCGGATCATTATCCTGCTCACCTTCTGGTTCCGTACGTACAGACCTCACCCTTTCACCCGCCCAGCTCAACCTGCTAACACCCACTTCCTTGCTCCAGTTTTCCGCCTCATCAAAAGCCGCTTCTTCCCCGATAAACCCATCATGGCTCACGGAAAAGTCATCGAGGTTGACAAGTATGCGCTTTCCCCACCTTTCTCTCCACCGGGGAAATCGAACCCCGGGGAAAACTGCAACTGCGCTTTTGGAAATACTAACTCAATATCCCTTCACAAAAATAGCCCCGTCATCTTCAAGGCCCTGACCTCGTCGGGCCCGGTCGTGGTCGACTTCTTCGCGACCTGGTGCGGCCCCTGCAAGGCTGTTGCCCCCAAGATCGGCGAGCTGAGCGAGACCTACACCAACGTCCGGTTCATTCAGGTCGATGTCGACAAGGTGCGCTCCGTGGCGCAGGAGCTGCAGGTCCGCGCCATGCCGACCTTCGTTTTGTACAAGGATGGCAAGTTGTTGGACAAGCGCGTGGTGGGTGGGAATGTGAGAGAGCTGGAGGAGGCTATCAAGAGCATTGCTTAGACGTCATTGGTCTTAGGGTTGTTCTTCGGACCCGCAGTCAGGTGCGTAGCAAGTATATTTTATTTCACATGAAGCCCTTACGTGGCTACTGTGATATATCATAATCTGGAATTGCAGACACACCTCGACGAGCAACTCTTTAACAAATCTGAACTTCATAAATAAGCGATAGCTATGCTCCATACATACAACAGGATCATCAGATAAAACGCCACATAAAACAGAAACGACTAGCATGCAATAGCCTCGAGGAAATCATCCTATGTAGGTAACGCTGAACTTTGTGTCGCTCTGTACATCCACCTCTGTCAAGACTTGATTGTTTTGCTTCAGCTCAATGACCGTCCCGTCCTGGACACCCACGGTCTGTCCCCCGCCCTGGGCCTGCGCGCCGGTAAACGTGACCGTGCCGAAGTCTGTGAGCGCGACCTGTTCGTCGCCCGCCTGGAAGTCCTCGACGATCCAGTCAGCATTCTGGCCCGCCAGGGTGGCCGTCGCTTCAGGGGCGGAGACCGTCTGCGTCGCCTTCTGGCCGGTGGATTTGTTCTCGATGATGGCCACCCCCTGGCTGGGCGAGAGGGACTGGACCTTGGCCACAATGGTATCCCCGGGGCTCACGGTGAGATCGAAGTCGTACGCGTAGTCTGGGTACCATTCGTACCAGGCGTCGCCGGAGACCTTGCCGTTCTGGACGTAGAAATCCACCCCAGTCTGGAGGATGGCGGCGCTGTACGTGTCACCGTCGATGCCGACCCAGGCGGAGCCGGCCTGCGTGCCGCGGCTGTTGGCTGCAGCAGTGGGCTTAGGGACCTGGAAGGTCGCGCTGACGGCTGTGTAAGGACCTGAAGTGGGCGGTTCCTCTCGCACAATGCCGGCCCAGTTGCTGCTGTACGTGACGTGAGATGTGTCCGGGGATGAAGCCACTTCCTCTCGGTGGTTGCTCTTGGGGTCTGATCCTGAAGGGTGTGGCTGTAGGGGTCGCGAGCCACGAGCCATGAACCGGGCTTGCATGCGTTCTACTAGACCACTGCGGGGAGCAGCTAGGACGCTACTAGCCAGGCAGGTGGTGGCTAGAATGGGGGCTAAGAGCTTCATGATGGGTTGGCTTGTTTGTTGTACTGGTGAGGAGGTGTTAGCGAGAGGCTGGATTTGAAGCAGACGCTAGACGCCTTTCTAGCTAGAGACGAAGTCCAGTGATCTTATATCGTGCTTGGGGACTTGTCATGGTCGCATGCGGACAGCCTCAATCACTCTATGTCTGGATTAGGAAATTCTAGACCCCGCGATCTAATCATATGGATTGAATCCATGGTCGTGTGTATGTCATCCCCAAGGGGAAAAGCCAGATTCATGCCAGGTACAAGGCTTTGAAGGACGCTAATGGTCATGCCCCCGGACCACGAGGTCCAGTACCTCGAAACGGCTATATCCTATCTCAGAGAGGGGTGACAGAGGAACCATGATCTAAGCATTGGGCGATGAACAATTCCGAGAGCATGTGGTTCCATGTCAATTTTAAGCTTCGTTCAAACAAGATTCAGACCGACAATGATGTCAGAAACTGGAGAGCATAGCTCGTAGTGTTAAACATCTCAGGAGTTGGGATATTCCCAGCATCGAAGCCCGTATGCGTCTTAGTCCTGAGATGACTATCGAGTGCAAGAGTCTGAGGACCGTCACTCCAACTGAAGCCTCTCAGAAAGCAGCCTAATTAAATTATCAACGAATGTTCCTGGTCCAAGCCGGAGACAGTAGGTAACGAGTGCAGCATTCCCAATCGGGCACATACCTCACATGCCAAGAGACGCAACCAACATTCCAGCCATAGCGTGTCCGCTCCGCAGCTGCAAGCGACATTTCGAATGACCTGGTCACCTTTCAGTGCCGATTAAAGACCTCAGGGTCCAGCCTTCAAGTAACCAGTAGTCCTATCCACGGCGAGTGCATGATACGTCATGCGCGCCCTGTCGCCGGCACCAACTCGACTCGGTGCCCACAATGGCCTTATGACAAGTCCTGGTTGACATGGGAAGAATGTTGCTGAAGGTTGTAGGGACAATGCTCGGACGATGAAAGTTTCTAAAGCATTGTGTTTGCAGACAGCATCGTCATTCAAGTGTAAGCTTAAGCAGTCAATTAGGCCGGCAAGATGATCAGGCAGACATGCCCCAAGTGATCGATATTATGCCAGAATGGCGGAAACCGTGTTGGGACGTGCAAGTGAGAACATAGTGAGAAGCTGTTACTTCCCCAATCATGCACAGCACTGAATGCAGCCGAAAGAGGTGAATGATCAACCGCTTGTTGTTGATCAAAGCGGTGGTGTCGGCTTCGGCGAAACAATATGGATGGGTCACCCGCAGGGACTTTCGCCGGACGTGCAGGGGTCGTATGCAGCAACAGGTCGGAGTCTGGACTGGAAGCTTAAGACTGCGGGGTCAAGACCTCAGCCAGACCCGCCGACAGGTGGCTCAGTTGTGATCATAACCATGCGGGCTGATGGTGAAAGCTGAGTGATGCTCACACCTGAGGCATCGCAGTTGCGGAGTGACCTTTAGTTCCGGTAGAGTTACTGCCGTATGTACACATGAAATGCTTATCCTTATCGCAACTTGGAAAACCGTTATCGGTTCTAAGAGGATTACATAATGCACTCGAGCTTGGCTTGTTAGCCAATTAGAAGCACAGTAAATGACGCCATGGCTGCATGGCTGACAACTGTGGCCTGAGGCCGCCATATCCGCATGTGACAAATGTTAAAACACCCGGCCGAGTCACCGATTGATCATCCTGCCTCTCGCATCGCTATCACTTTCCACGTTCCTGTGGTATAGAGGCTCGTCTTTGGGCCACGATGAACCCATCAGGAATGGCGTCCTCAGTTCCTCGAGTGTCAAGGGTCGTACGATCATTGACTCAGCGCAACAACCTTTCAACAGTGACTACCACACGTCCAGTTGTTCGAGTCAGCCCACTACTTCACTCTCGGGCTCTACACCAAGCTCCTCAGCGCAAATCACAACCGGTTACTGCGCAATCCAGTCCACGAGACTCGTCCAACCCTGCTCTCTCCTTTCCATGCCTCGATGCCCAGGACGCCAAATCTGCCCAGCTCTCCGCGCGGTCGCTCGAATCCGGGCCCGAACCCTCATACACCACTGGTCACCATGAACAATTTCACTGCGAGGATCCGATTCTTCTCGACTGGGGTGGTGTGCTCCGCGAATTCGACATCGCATACGAAACATGGGGCCAATTGAATGCCGACAAGAGCAATGCCATTCTGTTACACACCGGTCTTTCGGCATCGAGTCACGCACACAGCACCGAAGCTAACCCGAAGCCCGGCTGGTGGGAAAAGTTCATCGGCCCCGGTAGGCCTCTCGACACGAACAAACATTTCATTATCTGCACAAACGTTCTCGGAGGATGTTACGGAAGTACTGGACCCTCGACAATTGACCCTTCCGACGGCAAGAGATATGCCACTCGATTCCCTATTCTCACGATTGAGGATATGGTACGGGCACAGTTTCGCCTTCTGGATGCACTGGGCATTCAAAAGTTGTATGCGTCTGTTGGATCCAGTATGGGCGGTATGCAGAGTCTTGCTGCCGGTGTCTTATTCCCGGAGCGCATTGGCAAAGTTGTCAGCATTAGCGGATGCGCACGGAGCCACCCCTACAGCATTGCCATGAGGCACACGCAACGACAAGTGCTGATGATGGATCCAAAGTGGGCCCGGGGCTTCTATTATGACTCCGTCCCCCCTCATTCGGGAATGAAGCTCGCTCGAGAGATCGCCACAGTCACATACCGCAGTGGGCCTGAATGGGAGATGCGGTTTGGACGCAAGCGCGCAGATCCCAGCAAGCAGCCCGCTCTCTGTCCGGACTTCTTGATTGAGACGTATCTTGATCATGCCGGAGAGAAATTCTGTTTGGAGTATGATCCGAACAGTTTGCTTTATGTGTCTAAAGCCATGGACTTGTTTGATTTAGGATATGCCCATCAAGCAGAAACTCAGCAGCGGAGAGCCGCCAACGAAGTCAAGATCGCCGAGGGAGGTAGCGATGCTCAGGAAAACAATATCACCTGCAGCCTGACTCTTCCCGCCAAGCCGTATGAAGAGCAACCGTCTCAGACTGCGTCAACGCCTGCTATGGACCAGGCTGTCACTGAGGGTGGAAAGGGGCCGGACGCGCCCCCACAAGATCTCGTCCATGGACTTGCACCGCTGAAGAACCACCCAGTCTTGGTGATCGGCGTCGCCAGTGATATCCTCTTTCCGGCCTGGCAACAACGGGAAATTGCAGAGACGCTTCGCGCAACAGGAAACCAGACTGTTGAGCATATTGAGCTGGGAGAGGATGTGTCGCATTTCGGGCATGATACCTTCCTGCTTGATCTGAAGAATATTGGAGGTGCCGTAAAAAAGTTCTTGCGGTAGAGACGGAAGCAAATCCGAGATGGTGGGATTTACCATCCATATTTGTACATTTATTTGAGGGCGTCGTCCCATATATCTACTTAGCTGATTCGACTTTAATCAGTGTCAACAAGAGGATGGAAGAGTTCTCGGTTGACTAGGGACCAGTACATAGAATGAGTGACCAGTAGAAGAGCATAATGATGAACAGACTCTCCGAGCTTAACATAGTCTGGATAAACCCCGGCCTTCAAGGTCGGATCTAAGTCATATTGCCTAATTTAGATTAATTATTTGATCTACACGTGATCTCGTGAATTGGACCCGTGGCTACCGGGCGGTGAAACGCGTTGATTTTGCGCCCCGCGAACCAATGATCGGTTGCTGTCACAATTTATTTTATTTTGCTACAGATCATTAAATCCGAGCACAACACTCGGGACTCTTCCTTCCATCCTTCACTTTGTCGCAACCTTATGAAAATTTGAACCCTTCACTCGAATAACACATCGCTCTGTGTTATGTTTTTAGTCACCCACCCTTTCCAACCACTTCCCCGCCTCTTCCTCTCGTCCTATCCTTCGACCGCAGACTCTCCCTTTCCGCTTTCCTCTCACCCAGCTACTCGAAAGACCTCTCTCACCATTCCCTATGCACGGACAGACAACTCCACAGTTCTTGCTGTAGACGAAAGCTTCTCCTGATTTCCATCGCTCCATCATATCTTCCACGCCTCACATATCAACACCCTCCACCTGCGACATGGTTCTTCTGCGACTCGGAGTTAAAGTCTTTGCTCGCGAGCAATTGCAGGCGCCATCGTCCTTGAATGATCGCGATAGCCTCGGCCACGGCAAGCATGGCTTCCGGGATCGTGAGCTTGACAGTTACTTGATCGTCCTTGAAAGCCCGGAGGAGACAAATCTTGGTGAATTGGCTCAGATCATTCGCGAGAAATGGAAAAAGCGAAGACCAGATGCTGAGTGAGTCCATGTTTTACTTGAAGCCCACCCAGTTCTTGAGGGCATTCCTTTTCTGACCCAGAGAGGCCGAATGACCTGACAAGAGCACGAGCTTGACTACTTTTACGAGTGCTTCAAATGTGCTAACAAATGCGGGATATCTAGGTCCCTCGAGATCAAAAAGCTGCTCGACGATGAGAACGACACCTACGACCTCGATGCAGACTTGACTGTTGCTGATGTCTTCGTTAATCGAGGCAAGGCCCGTCAGGACGCCTCGGATCAGCGCGCGACTGTTCGTGTTATCATGAAGCCTACCCAGTACACACCTGTCCGACTTCCCTCCGTCACCCACGATTGGGATGCTCTTGCGGAAGATGCTGAGCGCCAGAGACTCATCAAAAAAGAGATCATACGGAAGGAGATGAGTCAGATTCCGACCGTCTATGAAGATCCCAAGGATACCCTCACTTTCGAATCAACTAGCAACCGTGCAACCTCTTCAGCATGGAGCGCTCATGAGAGTTTGGTGCGCACGAGCGATATTCCTGTCTCCTCCGTGGAACCAGAGGATTTTCACGAATCACCTTTACACGTGGCCAAACAACCCATCTCGCAACAACAGCAGCATCATGTTGTTGCGCCAACCCCTCCGCGCAGGCGGGCGGAAAGTCAAGAATTGGGCGATTTGCATCGCAGCTCAAGACCCTTCAAGACACACTTCTCGCTTACAAGGAACGGCTCAAGACAAGTGCACGCGCCGCGTTCTATAATTGAGGAGGAAGCAGAGCTTATTCATGACTCGCTGCAAGGTACCAAGGGCGAACACAAGGCTCACAATCAAAATGATATCATGGAAATTGTCATTGATGAGAGTGAGCCCGAGAACCTCGACGAAGGGGTGACAAACGCAGAACGGGAGATCACAATGACGGAAGTTGGAGCTGAGAAGGAAAATTTGTCTGCCCCAACTCCTACTAGGATCAACAAATTGAAAGCCAACGGCACTGCTATCACCAATGGTGATCTTGACGGATTGCGTAAGCGAAAGCTAAGCTCGGAAAGCCTGAAGCCGAACAAAGAGCCGCGACGACAGGAGCCTGAGAGTCCACAAGCAGTGGACGACGACCTTGTATACACTCTGAGCAAAGCTGAAGCCAGTCCCTCGACGCCGCGCCGCCGTGATCGGGTCCCGTCTTTCCCTGGTGCTGGCCGACGCCTAAGCTTCGCGGAGTGCTCGCCTCGAGGGCCACCCAAACCTGGTCTTGGGCTGGGCATCACGAGCAGCCCTTCTGGCAAGCAACCGGCAATGCGTGCTGACAGTCCTGGATCCCCGTCGCGTACTCAGAGAACCCCAACAAAGCTTGCGACACCAGTCAAACAAGCCCACTTCACCTTGTGCAAGGACGATGCCGCTCACGATCCGTCTGGCCGACGCTCAGTATCATTTGCTGATAGTTCTGATGTAATTGTGACCAAGTCTGGGCCAGCGCCGGTGTCTAGTCAGAAATCATCAAGCAATGGTTTCCCCAGGAAAGAGGCCGCAGACCGGGACACGAAAGCTTCTACTAAGCCTCCTGTGATAGCCCAGTCTATTGCGAGGGAGGATGCCAAACAACCCAAACAAGCCGTCTTTGATGAAGCTGAGTTCAGAGCTTGGGCCGTGGAGGCACGACAGACGCTCGAGAAAGCCACGAAGCAGGGTCGTGATAGCAAAGGTATTCATTTATTGAAGGCAGCCGTGGAAACATGGGATGCACATCAGAAGCTCGGCAGGCGGAAGAGCAATGTATCTACCAGGAAAGAGCAAGAAAATAAGCTCCGAGACCTGCGCCAGCAGATCGAGAAAATGGGGCCATTGAGGTCTCTGCTCACACCACCCTCGAAGGCAAGGCCCATCACACAGCCATCTGACAAGATCGGGCATCTTCGTTCGACACCAGCAGGAACACAAAGCGCGACAAAGCTCAAAGGCGCACCAAGTCAACGACCAGCGCAAGGAGGTTCAGCCCAGCCGGTTCAACAGTCCTTGGCATCGACTCCAAGCCGTAGTTCACAGGCCAAAGAGAGCTCATCCATAGCCAAGCTCGACCTCACTGCATCCAGTTCAGAATCGGAGTCCGGGTCAGATACAAGCTCAAGCTCAAGCTCAGAATCTGAAGATGACGAAGACGGCAGCCCGCCACCTTCGACGCAGGGCGCTAAGCATATATCCAATGCGCCGTCGCCTTTCAAGTCCAAGTCTCCCATGCTGCCCCAACCTCCAGCTACGACTGTCACGTGGTCCCACGCCCGTGGGGTGCCTCAAGCTACCCGTTGCACACTGAAAGAATTAGCCGCGAAACGGAAGCAGGAGTTAGAGGAAGAGAAGAAGTCTAGAGAGAGAGAGGCCACCAAGAATCTTCAATCGAAGACTCCAGCTATACCCGGGGCCGATGACGATAGTGACAGCGAAGACGACAGTGAAAGTGAAAGTGAGAGTGAGAGCGAGAGCGAAAGCGAGAGTGACAGTAATTGAATAAGGGGTATCTAATGTCATGTATGATAAACGTAAATCTCGGCAATGCATGGTTCATGATCTTAATGTGATGGAGTAAATAGCCCAGATGCTAGGAACAAACCAATGAATGACTTTTATTTGCACTTCCTCGTCGCCTGTCCTTGATCTCATTACACCTACTTCTCACGGCACATTAACGCCGTTCGACTCCGCCTCCTCAGGAGCAGCTGCAATCTCAAACAGCTCCTGCGGCGGTCTCTCGACGGTCAGGTTCCAGCCAAACTTGTCCTCGACCTTCCCGTTCTGGATCCCCTTCAGCGTCTGCAAGAGCTTGACGCAGACCTCGCCGCCGCTGTTCGCCTCGCCACCGCTCTGAAACACAAACCTGTCGTTCTTCGACCGCATCGTGATACTGCGGATGGGCACCAGGGCAGCCGCCGTGCCGCAGGCGATAACCTCATCGAACTCCTGGATCTCCTCGTACGGCACGCGGCGCCTCTCGGACTTGTACCCGAGCAGGCGCTGGCCGATCTCCAGCACGGAGGCGGCGGTCACGGAGTCGATGGCGTTGCTGCTGTCCGGCTGCACGAGGGTCACGGTGCCGTCCGCCTGATCCTTCTTGACTCCGATGAACGCCGAGGTGGAGAACTCATCGACCTCGGAGCGCGTCCGGCTATCCAGGTGCAGGGTGATCCCGAAGCCTTCGCGGTAGGCCTTGGCGCTGTGCCGCAGCACCGGCGCGTAGTTGCCGCCCACCTTGGCGGAGCCGGTGCCGGCGGGGGCGCTGCGATCGAAGTCCTCGAGGATGAGGGCGTCGACCGCGCTGACCCCGTGGTAGACGCCGGTGGGCATGACGAACACGACGAAGGTGTACTCCTCGGGCGCGGTCAGGGCCAGCTGCGCCGACGACCCGAAGATCAGGGGCCGGATGTACATGGCGGCGCCCGTCTCGTGCGGCGGCACGAACTCCGCGTTGGCGGCCACGGCCAGCTGCACCGCTTCCACGAACAGCGCCTCCGGCACCGGCGGGATGGAGATGAACTCCGCCGAGTGCCGCATCCGCACCGCGTTGCGGTCCGGCCGGAAGATCGTGATCTTGTTGGTGTCGGTCGGGTGCCGGAAGGCTTTGAGGCCCTCGTACGCCTGTTGCCCGTAGTTCAGGCCCGGCGCCATGCCGTGGATGCTGAGGTGCGGGGTCGGGATGAATTTCGGCGCCGACCAGCTCGATGTGCTTGTGTTGTAGTGGCATTCGATGTGGCCGTTGACTGTGAAGAGAGAGAGAAAGGGGTTAGTTTAAGGGGTTTGGTGTGTTTGTAGCAAAAGCAATTAGAGGCTTCTGCGAGAATTGACGGATCATCATGCTGAGGGGGCAACGTACCATCGCGGACTTTGAAGCCGACATTGTTCCAGTCAATGGAACTGACCGGGGGAGGGGGGAAGGTGGATGCCATGGTATGTTAGAATGTAGAGGACTAAATCGAGTAAACTGAATTGAATTGAGATGCTAAGGTAGGAGGGTGGCAGAATTATTGAGTGGATGTATGAGACGAAAGAGCTGCTGCAGTCGAGACTGAGTCATGGATGAAGTCCGCGGAGGGGCGGCGGGTCTTATAATGTCGTGTTGCGCTGACCCCGAGGTCCCAAGGTCCCATGTTGGTTGGTGGATTTGCTGTTTGGCAGTGTTTGAGCGTTCAAGGAAAATCTTGCCAGTAAGAATACGCCGTGTCGGGAATCAATTCGTATTCGATATTGATGATGACAGAGGATTATACTTCAATTGCCAGGATCTACTAAGTACAATCTCCAGAAACTATTTTAGACGCCAGGCTCCACCAGTGGCGGACTAAGGCATCCTTCCGGGGCATCAGTCCCCAGTCACTGATGCTGCAGAACCCTAACAAGGGCCGCCCATTGCACGTGATAGAGATAAGAGCCCTTGCCGCATCCGGTCTGGTGCCCCTCTCGCCCGGGCCGATATCGCTCCCGTGGGCCCGGCACTAGGGCGATGAATCAGACTTGCCTATTTCAGCCGAAGGAGTCATACCTACCGTTCCCCACCTCCCCCGGTTGGCGTCCTTTATTAGTATCTGCTGTCCTCAGCTCTCTGCTGAACTTCTCTCTTCCCAACACATCAATCACATCTTCACACACATTTGCCATCATGAGCGCTCCTAAAGTTGCCGAAAATATGCTCTGGGGTGGTCGATTCACCCGTTTGTCTCCCTTTCCATCCTCAATGGCTCTAATTGCACCGACTAACGCGTTCTGCTTCATTCCATCACAGAGGGCCTCGACCCCCTAATGGTGCAGTACAACGAGTCATTGCCATACGACCGCATTTTCTGGAAACAGGACATCGCCGGCTCCATTGCCTTTGCCCGTGCCAACACCAAGACCGGTATCCTGTCCCAACAGGAATTCGCCGAGATCGAACGGGGTTTCAAGCAGATCGCCGAAGAATGGAGCACGAACTCTTTCGTCGTGAAGGAGAATGACGAGGATATCCACACTGCCAACGAACGTCGCTTGTCGGAAATCATTGGCAAGGAGATTGGAGGCAAATTGCACACTGGTCGGTCTCGTAATGAGCAGGTTGCCACGGACATGCGGCTTTGGCTCCGCGATGAACTTCGCAAGCTTGACCAGTTCCTGTGCGATCTCATCAAGGTCTCCATTGCCCGCGCCGAGTCCGAGATCGAGTACCTCATGCCCGGCTACACCCACTTGCAGAAGGCCCAGCCTGTCCGCTGGAGTCACTGGATCTTGTCGCATGCCACCGCTTTCGCCAGCGAGCTCCAGCGGCTCCGGGAAGTCATCAAGCGGGTCAACCGCAGCCCTCTCGGTACCGGTGCTCTGGCCGGAAACCCCTTCCACATCGACCGTGAGGCGATGGCCAAGGAGCTGGGCTTCGATGGCCTTCTGTACAACTCGATGAACGCCGTGGCCGACCGTGACTTCGCCATGGAGACCATGCAGTGGGGTAGCTCGTTCATGTTGAAGATCTCTCGCTGGGCCGAAGATCTCATCATCTACAGCAGCTTGGAATTCGGATTTGTCCGCCTGTCGGACGCCTACTCGACTGGATCGTCGTTGATGCCTCAGAAGAAGAACGCAGGTATGTCAGCTCTTTTCTATATATTGGTATTTTGAAGCCAGACAATGCTAACTCAGTGATGAACAGACAGCCTGGAGCTTCTGCGCGGAAAGTCTGGCCGTGCTTTCGGTCAGATGGCTGGCTTGATGTGCACCATCAAGGGCCTTCCCACCACCTACAACAAGGATTTGCAGGAGAGTGTTGAGCCTCTCCTGGATCACATCAAGACCGTCGGAGACAGTATTCAGATTGCCACCGGCGTTCTCTCTACCCTCACTGTCATTCCGGAGAAGATGATCGCCGCTCTTGCCCCTGAGATGCTGGCAACCGAGATCGCAGACTACCTCGTCCGCAAGGGTGTGCCGTTCCGTGAGGGCCATCACATCTCTGGCCGGGTTGTTGCCCTGGCCGAGAAGCATCAAGTCCCCATGGATACCTTGTCGTTGGAGCAGCTCAAGACCGTTGATGCTCGCTTCGATGACGACGTACAAGCTTGCTTGGACTACGAGCGTGCTGTCGAGTTGAAGGATGCAGTTGGCGGCACTAGTCGTCGGGCTGTGCTGGAGCAGACCGGCGTTCTACGGTCGTTGTTGTAAGATATAGATTTTATTGGTCGTTGTGGTTTCGGGGTTTTGGGATCATTTTCGGGGCGAACAAAAGCATGAGGTCTCTTTATATCAATTAATGCATAGAGCACATTCTCTTGGATAGGGATGTGACTTCTCACTCAATATGACGATGGAATTTTTCACATACAATAGCATGTTTCGCCAATGCTTTGGCGATATGACGTAGATGTGTACTACTGTAGCTGCTCACAGCCCTGAGTCAATAAAAGTCAATAGTCAAATGGGTCTAAACAATTAAGTGTGGATGTGCAACGGACACTATTCACCATGCTACGTAGTAGAGGAAATGCAGGAGACTGAGTCCTCCCATTGAGACAGAAGGTGGCCAACTTCAATGGCTAGCGACGGCGATCGTTGCCCTCGAGGATGCCGATAACACACCCAGTGTAGCATGGATCAGCGATTATCTGGACGAATTATGGAATAGATATTGGGGGAGGAGTATAGATAGGGACGTGCTCGCTTATGCCCGGTCATTGGCCCACAATTGGGGTTTGAGTTACGTAAGGCCCCAGAGCTCCGACTCCGGGATGAGTCAATGACTCTTAGTCAACAGCTCTTCCCTCCCCGACCGTCAGTCAGTCATTGAACTAGCGGTCCTATATTAATCGGCTTCACATTCCGTTGTTTCTCTTCATCTCTCTCCGAATTCAATCTACATCTCATTCTCAACCCTCATCCCTCTCACACACTCACAAAATGGCCTCTGAAAAGCCCCGTGTCTGTCTGGCCTACTCCGGTATGTCTACCTCCCCGTCTTTTCAACCCCGCAATTTGCGCCAATTGATCTCGAGATAAGAGCCATATTCGCTAACAAATGGTTCTACTTTTTAGGTGGTCTTGACACCAGCTGCATTCTCCGCTGGCTCATCGGTAGATATCACCTGAATTCGCTCCGCTCTATCGTCAACTAACACATACAATCAGAGGAGGGTTACGACGTCGTCTGCTTCCTCGCCAATGTCGGTCAGGAGGAGGACTGGGCTGCCGTTGAGGCCAAGGCCCTGAAGATTGGTGCCAAGAAGATGATCATCGAAGATCTCCAGCGCGAGTTCATCACTGAGCTTTGCTTCCCCGCCATTCGTACGATTCCCGGGTTCTGTGTGTTGGGGAAACATGCTAACTCACAATAGAGTGCAATGCCATCTACGAGGGCCGCTACCTTCTCGGTACCAGCTTGGCTCGCCCCGTGATTGCCCGTGCTCAGATGCGCGCTGCCCAGCGTGAGGGATGCCAGTACGTCAGCCACGGTGCCACCGGCAAGGGTAACGACCAGGTCCGCTTCGAGTTGGCCT